GCATCGATGATACTTTCTGATTATTTATGAGGCTAGTGGAGCTACTGGCCAATGTAAGAGAACAGTGCAATAGAATCAAATTATCTCAGCACTTTATGCTTTAAAACCCATACATGGATTTAGCTCTGTATGCTAATTCCAGATGAAATGGCTGAGGCAGGTGGTCTGAACTGTTCTCCACAGTCCCTTAAAGAGTGACTTCTATCCAGTACTAGGCACTTGATGAACATTTGTGGAATATGTTGAAACCTACCTACTTGACATTTGCTTTTTTAAAAAACTAATTATAGAAGGTGATCTATGATTGACAAGTTCTCTTGTTATAAGAGATCTGTCATAAAAATATTTTCTAGTCTCTTCTAAATACCATTAAGATCCAAAGGGAATAAAAATGCCAATTTTTCAAGAGTCTCACTACAACTGTGATGACTTCGGGTCTCATTTTGTCCTCACAAGATCAGACCTGTCTGCCTCAATGGCCACTCCCTGATGTTCTCTCTGCCCCTCCACCTTCCTTCTTTCCTTTTAGAAAGCTTTCCAGCCTTCAACCTAATGCTGAACTTGCTTTGTCTAATGTATTCCCTCCCTTTCTATTTCCCCCACCCACTCCACAGGCCATGTAACTCGAGTGTTTATTTCTACCATCTGTGTCTGTAACTGTGAGCAGAATCAGCTTGTGTTTAAAGTAAGGGCCCTCTGTCTCCCACTGCCCTGTCCTCCTACCTTCACCGTGCCCTCTATAAGCCAGAGGAGGGTTCTTAAAGTCCGGACCCCTTCTTCCTCTCCCTGCCCCAGCTCCATTTTAAACCATCCCCCTCCCAACAGCGCTCCTGAAATGCCTTTGAATAGTAAGCATCCTCCAAAGGAAGCACTTCTGAAATACAGACAGTGCCCTTCAGTAGGTGTTCTCCCTGCAGCTGCCTCTCTTGCCAAGGACATTTCTCCTCTACTCCCACCCCTTCAGCTACCACATCAGCTCTCAGATCTGCTCCATCTGGGGGTCCTGCGTATTTACCCAGTACAGCAGCACTCAGAAGTACTTATCACTGCAGTCCATCCACATCTTCAAGGATCTCCCTACCGGAAGCTTGTGGCTACACTTTCTGCATACATTTTGAATACAATAGATGCTCAGTGTTTGTTAAAAAAAATGGAGGTGTCAGGAAGAACCTCTCACTGGCCGCATCCTCCATCCTTAGCATCAAACACATTACCAGTTATCTACCAACCACCTCTGTCTAGATGTCCAATACGAGCACCTCAGAAACTTCCAATCTCCATCCCCAAAACTAACTATTCCCTCACTTCCAAGTCTCCTGATAACTGGTGATTTAAGCCAATCAACCTGACTCTCCAAAGCAGAATCCTCACTCAGCAAGTTCTTCAACATGTGCAACTAGTTAACAAGACATATTACACATTTTACCTCAGTGTCTCTTCTCTCCCTTTCTATTTGCACTGCTCATATCTGAGGCCAGACCCTAATCTCTAAAACAATCTCCCGAACATCCAGCACATCTTTCTCCCCACCAGGGGAGGGATCTTCCCACACAGTTATCATGCCACAGTGCCACCTGTGCTCCTCTGACATCTCCCTCACTGCCTAAGTGATAGCACATCCAAACTCTTAAAGTATTTCAGGGCCTTTGTGGATCTGGCCTGATTGCAGCACCTCTCCACACAACCCGATGCTTTCTCCTGTAATGTTCAACCTAAGCAAACCAAACTCACCCTCGTGTCCTTGAATCTGCTGCATTTTCATGTCTCTGTGTATACAGGGCGTCCATCCTCCCTCTGGTTAGAATCTTTACTCCAAGGTCCACCCAGGGCCCATTTTTCATCCTAGGCCCAGTTTTCATGTAATTTTTCTGAAGCCTTCCTCAATGAATTCCCAAGCTGTTTTATTTATAACAGCTTCTTTTAAAAGAGAAGCAAGTTACAAATTATGCACACACTGTAAAGAGATGTTTTTAAAAAGAGAATATCAGCGCAAAAGCAAGATAGGGTAAAAGAAAGAAACGCTAGAGCCAGGAATGGTGGCACACACCTGTAATCCCAGCACTGTGAAGGCTTAGACAGGAGGATTGAGTTCAAGGCCAGCCTGAACTACACAGCAAGACCCTGTCTCAAAAATAAATGAATGGGGCTGGGGATTTAGCTCAGTGGTTCTACTGTTGGCCTTGCAAGCTCAAGGTCCTGAGTTCGATCCCTGGTACCAAAAATAAATGAATGAATGCAAGCTAAAATATAATGGGGCATTCATAAACTCTAAAGTAGGTCTCATACTTGTCATAACACTGGCCCTGTCTCTACTGAATGAGCCCACTGCCAATCATATATGCCTGCACAGTAACACCCTGTATACGTATACATTTTTAATTTGTTCTTTGTGTCTTCCCCAGTGGACTGGGAAATTCCTAAGGGAATATATAATTTCTGACTCATCTCTGTATCCCCAGAATGTAGCATATGACTCAGCACACAACTGGTACTCAGCAGACATTTGTTGAATGAATATCATTGAGGACAGGGAAAACAGTGAGGATACTTGTTGAGCACTTGCTAGGTATTTGAAAAAAAAATTTTATCCACACACAAAAAAGAAAGAAAGCAAAGAAATACAAAGCTAAGAAACAGAATCAAACCCCAAGCTATCTCACTCTAGAGCAATTGTTCTTTTCACTAAGCATGGCATTTGATACCTTCACCACCATGGTGCACCTAAATACCCTCTTCTTCAAGGCCTGGTTCAAAAAACAAAACACCCTTCCCTAAGAAGCTTACTCATATAATAAAGCTGTGTCCGAGTCTTGCCCTGACTTTCCACAACACTTAGAAAAGAAATTGGGAAAGGGCAGGTGCCTTCTTAGTGGCTGAGAATGGAAGTCAGCCAGATATTCTGCAGGTGAGACGAAGTGGCCAGCTCCTCTTCTCAGTCAGGGCTGCTCCCCCAGTGCAATCCCTAGGCCAGTGTTGGCCAACCTTTCAGAAACCAAATGCCAAACTGCAACCCAAAATCCATTTATTTATCGCAAAGTACCAACACTGCAATTAAACCTGAATACTGAAAGTTTAGTTTAGGAAAAAAAAAAACTCATATATTAACATCGTTTGTCTTAAAAGAAAAAAACACAGTAACACGTGTTCCCTAAATTCATCACAATTGCTAGGCCTCGTCTACTTTCCTCTTCCTTTCTCAGGGACCAAAACCTTCCCAGGACTCGCCATTCCTAATTGAAACACAAAACACCCTCCTCCCCACTGCTTCTCCAAAAGTGAATGCAATTCCAAATACACTCCTTCATTACATCAGTTAGGCCTTGGTATTTTAAATGTCTTGCCGACCTTGACAGTGGGTTGGTAAGCATCCCCATCTCCTGAAAACACACTGTAAGAATTGCAGGCTCATGAGAGGGGAGAGTGACACTTTTTGAGGCCTAGTTATGGGACTGGCATTACATGTGATTACTTTTGTCCTAGCTTGCAAGGAAGAGGGACAACCTGTGATCACCGTTCCTAGGCAGCCGTGGCAAGTCCCTCTGATCTCTAAGGGAGGCTGGAATCCTGGTCCAGATTGCTGCTGAGAGAGGGAGGGTGGATGATTCTCCTTGCCTCTGCATCTTCCTCCAGACCTTCGGAATCCTTCCTCTCCACTCTTTGTCTCCTTCTGGCCCCAAACTCCCATAGCAGTCCTCAGGAACTGTTTCTGAATTAACATCGAACGTTTTCCCGGGTAACACACGGTATTTACTGACATGCTGAAATGCACACCGCGTGGCCCTATTATCCTGCTTACTGTTTTTAAATGTATGACAAATACATGCTTGTATGCTATAACCACTTTCCTAAGTACTGCGAGAACATTTTACTCTTAAATGTTACCATACCTAAGAAACATCCATTCTTTAGAATAAGAGAACTACATTCTTCAGTTTCTTACTCCTAAATAAAGATTTCTTTCATGCAATTTACAGTCGCTGCCTCATAGCACCAGTGTGATAATGTAATGATAATTCATGCCAAGGGTTTAAGACCCAGGGCCTGCTACATAGAAAGTGCTCACACTTTAGCTATGATCATACACGCACATTATCTTTCACAATAGTACCTGGGGTAGGTATTCACACACTGCCCCCTCGTCGCCCCCCACTCTCATTACGGAAGCGGCTTGAAGTAAAGGAGCTTTCCCAAGGTCAGTCGGGGAGGGATGTGATGCTCTGCTTCATCCTCCCAATGCGGGACCCCTCCCCTTACGCACGGGGGTCTTAATGGAGACAAGTACTGAAAAGCGCCCAGCGCTGTGCCAACATGCAGGAGGGACCCTGGGACCGGAAGACCGCGCCACTGCGGGTCACCAGGATTCTTCAAGCGACTCCCCCGGCCGGAGGGTCCACGGCCCCCGCCACGGCAG